ATTTTATGTTCAATATTAGAAAGATGTAATAATATTACACAAACATGTTCATTAAATAATTCAATATGCGTTGTTAATTCATGTTGTTCATCACAAGCAGTATGTTTACCATTTTTAGCAATACAAATGTGTAATACAGGTACGAATACATATTATTTACATTCGAGGCTTCATTAAATCAATTAGAACAATGTATTTTAATCATAGGTGTAGATAAAGTATCATCCATTTGCATAGAACTACTGTCGCATGATACTTTTCTTGTAGTAAAGAATAATGTAATAGATAAACTAATATAGACGTGTGATATGGATTGTTAATTAACAATAGGAACGAAAAAGAGATGGGAAACTAAAGCACGCTGAAGTTTTTAGTTTAGTTATTAAATAATATATTAATACAATTTTATATATAATTTAACTGGTAGAATAAGAGATTATGGTTTTATAATAATTCAATGTTGTTTGTTTTTTTGTATTTGAAGTGGAATATTTTTTAGAAAAAACTTTTGTAACATGCTTTTATGTTTGCATTTGTTGTATTAAATAATAAAATAATATGAATGAATAGATTGAAGTGAACAAATCGTTACTATAGATTATTTCAACTCGAATTTATATTTTGCTTGATTCTACATTCTTATTATTCCTATTTTTTCTGTTACCATTGTTATTGATCTAGTAGTGGTACTTTATAATTATGTTAGATATGATTTAAGCGATAATGTTGACCATCAATATCAAACTTATTGTAAAGTAGATGAGTCATCTGAGATGAAATTTAGCAACAGGATATATATGAAAGTAAGTCAATTTTGATAGAGAATCTGAGACTAATTTTCTATGATCAGCAGTTATTTCACCTGTTTTGTTTTACTTGATGAGATGATTGTGTAAACTACAAATCAGATATTAAATACTATCTTTATCTATATGAATAATCTTTCGTATCATATCTAAAACGATTGTAAAGGTTTATTTTTTTCTATGATAATGTTCACTACATATAAAACATCACTAAGAATAAGGTCACCAAGAACTAAATAGAGTAATTTCTGTAAATAAATAAAGGACCATCAATGCTTTGATAGTTAACTATCAGAAAATTCCAGATCAAGCACTCATTTTCTCACTAGCTTATATTGTATATCAGTTCTAGTGATGAATGCTATATAGTTCTTTTATCACTTATACAAAGATGATTAAAAAGAAAATATTGTGAATAATTCAGTATTTTGAGTGTCATGTTCAGAGAAATATGAAAGCAGGGACGTAGCCAGGAATTTGCTGAGAGGTATGTCCGATTTACCAAGTGGTGTGCACAGCTGTAGGAAAAAATTTTCCCCGTACTCTTCTACAGGTACTTATTTCTCAAGGGGTGTGCACGTGCACCCTTTGCACACCCCCTGGCTACGCTTCTGTATAGAAGAGTTAATGAGAATTTCATAATTTACATCCTATTAAATATTTTTCGATCATAGCTTGTAGAAAATTGAAGGAAACATCAGTGAGTGTAATTATCACAGTGGTCAGTTTGAGACTAACATCTTTCATATATTTGATTGAGATAAGAGAGAAAATAGAAAACTAAAGATGAGATAATGATATGTGAATAGATTTTGCATAATATATTTGACTATTATTCTTGGTCTACATCAATTTGAGGTGATATAAAGGAGACATATCAAAGACTGTCGTTTTTAGAATAATGAAAAATACCATAAAAGAATAATGAATGTTGGTTGTGTGATGATCTAATGTTATATTGTCTTAATATATAAAAATACAACTTCTAGGATGGTTTTCTACTGGCAATATGACTAATGCACGATTTGGTCACACAGCATCTTTATTATCAAATGGAAAAGTATTAGTTACTGGCGGAAACTATGGTGGCTCTTTAAATAGTGCTGAGCTGTATGATCCATCAACAGGTAATTGGACAACTACTGGTAGCATGACTGATGCACGGCAATGGCATACAGAATCTGTATTATCAAATGGAAAGGTATTAGTTACTGGTGGATGGAATGGTAGTACTGCTTATAATAGTGCTGAGCTGTATGATGCATTAACAAGTACTTGGACACCTACTAATAACATGAATAATGCACGAGAATATCACACAGCATCTTTTTTATCAAATGGAAAAGTATTAGTTACTGGTGGATTCAATGGGAATATTACATTAAATAGTGCTGAATTGTATGATCCATCAACAAGTACTTGGATAACTACTGGTAATATGACTAATGCACGTGAGTATCACACAGCATCTGTATTACCAAATGGAAAAGTATTAGTTGCTGGTGGATATAATAATGGTTATTTAAATAGCGCTGAACTATATGATCCATCAACAGGTACTTGGACAACTACTGGTAGCATGACTGATGTACGACAATGGCACACAGCATCTGTATTATTAAATGGAAAAGTATTAATTACTGGTGGATGGGAAGTTTTTGATTTAAATAGTGCTGAGCTGTACGATCCATCAACAGGTATTTGGACGACAACTGGTAGTATGAATAATGCACGATATGTTCACACAGCATCTTTATTATCAAATGGAAAAGTATTAGCTACTGGTGGATTTGGTAATAGTAATTATTTAAATAGTGCTGAGCTGTATGATCCATCAACAGGTATTTGGACAACTATTAGTAACATGACTAATGCACGAGAATATCACACAGCATCTGTATTATCAAATGGACTAGTCTTAGTTACTGGTGGATACAATGGTATTACTGGTATTTTAAGCAGTGTAGAATTATATTAAGTATTTCAAGCAAATTAACTTTCACCTATCTTATTTTTTTTCTTGCCAGGAATTCAAATTCCAAACAAAACTTAAGTTAGGAAAAATGTCAGCTTGTGACGTCCACTAACTGTTTCCTTTGATACTTTTACTGAATTATCATTTACTGTAATGTTTGATCCTAAATAAAAATAAATGTCTTTGTCTTTTCTATCTTTATATATTAATGTATTATGATTAACAAAAGTTGCAGCTGATATGATAACTTTAATTATCCTTTCGAATGTTCTCTTAGTTTTACAATGTTGTTTTTCATAATATTCAATTGCCTTGATAGTATTCATCGGATCTAGAATATATAATCATTGAAACACTTCAGTTACCAAAAGACCTTGAAGAAAGTTCATGAATGACACAGATGAATATGTGTGTAAATAACAATCCTAAAAGATATTCTAAATGGAAACATATAATGATATCAGATTTGAGTTCCACGTATCAAAGATCCTTCAGTCGAGTTTTAGGATGTATGATGTATTGTTTTTCTTGAATGTCTTTTTGACCTCGTTGCAACTACTCAAGAAAACAAACGCAATTCATGCCATAAGATCCTTCCTACAGTCGAGGAAACCAACAATAAATGATTCTCGATTACAGGAAAATATAAGAATTATGTGGAAGACTAATTTGTGTTTATATGACTTATAATTCTGAAAAGTATACATTTATTATATGTATCAAATAATTCTTAGTGAAAATAAAGAATTTCAAAAAAATAATTTATACTAAATTCATAAACTAAAATTATAATTTTGAAAGGACAATCATTTCAATAAGATCTTTGCAATAATTCTACTGACATCCTCGTATTATAGATTTTATGAAAAATACATGCCCTTTTTACCTCTGAAAATAAAAAATAAAAACTTCTTAGAGATTATTTTTGGACATTTAATTATTGATAGTAAATATCTATTTTATAAATTTCTATAGATATTCAGTAAAACATTCTCTTCAGTTGCAAAACATTTCCATACAGTTTATTTGTTCTATTATTAGATGTTATTCACTGTTGCTGTTATATACTTGTTTTTGGTTGAATTCCAACAATAGATGCTACCAAAACGTGTGACCTATAGTAATATCTTGAGGGTGTGGGTGTGGGCATGAGTAGATCTTTGTTTCACCCACCCACACCCAAACAACAGTATAATTTCATATCCTTTGGGTTGACTTATAAAAAAAAGGATATTATACAAATACCTCGTTTGCTTCGCTACATCACACTTATTTGTCAAAGATATTTCTTT